TATGTCTGCAAACAGAAGATGCTGCCTACAAAGATTTGTGTGTGTGTGTGTGTGTGTGTGTGTGTGTATACTGTCAGATCAGATCTGACTGGTACAGGAGGAGATTGTTTCTCCTTCTCCAGCAGAGCATCTGGTGGATTTGAACCGTGTACCTCTGGGATTGCAGTACACCTTCTTGCCACTAGGCCACCAGAGCTCGCTGCCTACAAAGATTTGAATGCCCATTAAACAGCAACTGAGTGGTTGAGATGGGGAGATGTAATCTCCTCACAATTGAAGATATAATCATCTTTAAAAAGAGCTTTGAAATAGTTTCTCTCTTTACTCTTTTTTAACTGGCATAGTTGATTCACTATCGCTCCGTGATCAGCAGCATAGAACCTGGATTCAGATGGCTTATCTTGGTCAAATTCTTGAATCTCAATGAACCCCAGTTTATCTGTAAAATGGGGGACAATTCTGGTGTGAAAAACAAAGTATATGAACTTTGTAAGTAAACCAATATAAAATAAAACTTTAATAAAAAATAAGGACAATTATAGATGTATATCTGATGTGAAAATTATATTTGTATATCTGATGTGAAAATAAAGTAAGATACTGGACACAAAGCTTCTGGCTTTGTGTCTGGCCCATAGTAACCAGAGTTACTGTATGTCAGTTTAAAGACCAAGTTGTGCCTGATCCAAGCCATGATCTTTTAAATTACTTCCTGATGCTGAACTTTGTACCAATGGGATATCAAATACCAGAATGGTTTCCCAATGGGGACAGTGTTTGGTGGAGCTCCCAGCTGTAAAACAGGTTTGGAAGAAGGAGTGGCATCCACTTCCTAAACCACATGTCTCTGGAAACTCTATGAACTTGGAGACATGAAGATAGTTATGGAAAGGCAGTAGGCCTTTTGTTCAGAGTTGCTATGAGTCATGCTTGACTCAACAGCAATCAACAACAACAACATATGCATTTGAAAGTTGGACAAGGAACAAGGATGACAGAAGAAGAATTGATGACTTTGAGCTGTGGTATTGGGAGAAAATAGCCATAAACTGCTAATAGAACAGACAAGTCTGCCTTGGAGGAATTGTAACCAGGATGTTCCTTAGAAGCAAGGATGGTGACTTTGTCTCACATGCTTGGGGTGCGTTGTCAAGAGAAGCCAGTCTTTGGGAAAAGGCATCGTGGTGGTGGGAAAGGTGGAGGATCAGAGAAAGACTCTAAAGAAGATGAATTATTAGCACAGTGACTCTAACAACAGCCTTGAATGTATCAGTAATGATGAGGATAGTACAGGATAGGGCCAGGCTCAGATGTGTGGTTTTAGAGTCACTATGAGTTATAGTTGACATGATAGCAACCTAACAACAGCAAATTTTCTAAAAATCCATTATTATCTTGAAAAAACCATTTTTATTTCACTCAAAATGCCTTCAATTACCAAAACCACATTTCTTTCAACAATTTAAAGCAGAAGATTATTCTGTCTTAAAAGGGTTTAAATGAAGAAATTCTTTTTAGATTAGAGATTCTCAATGGCACAGGCACAAGCTCCTAGGCTGGAGATAGAGTGATAACAAAGCAGTGCTTTGTACAATTTGTTTTATCTTTAATTGTGTTTCATTTTGTACTGTATTTTGAAATTAAAATGATCACAGAAAGAAAATCTGAATTTTTTTATGTAGGGCAAAAAGGAGATATGCATTTAAAAGGTTGAAAATCTAATTGTGCTTAGAGCCCTGGAAGATTGGGGTCTAGCACTAGGAATAAACCTTTCATAAAAGCAGAAAAAAAAAAAAAGGTTGAAAATCACTGCTATAGAGGAAAAGAGGCACCATTCTATTCCAGGCCCCTGAAGAGACCTTTACCTTTTTTTCCTTTTAAAACAGAAGAAACTGGAATGTTGCTGAGAGTTCACTTCCTGTCAATAATTGTAATAGGTGCTCAATGGATCCTCACAACAATCCTAAGGGACAGTAAACTGTACTCTCATTTTCAGAGGAACTGAGTCCTAGAAAATTTACCCAATTTGCACTCAGTCCCTAGGCCTTTCTGACTGAATATACAATGCACATGTGGCTACTGCTCACTTGAAATGTAACTTGCCTGAATTGAGATGAGCTGTGAGGATAGGACACACATCAGACTTCAAAGATTTAATACGAAAAAAAGTGGGATAATATTTCAAGAATATTTTATATTAGTTACATATTAAACTGATAATTTAAAATAATATATTTGGATTAGATAAAATATATCAAGATTAATTTCACTGGTCTCTTTTCCCTTTTGAAATGTGGTCACTGGAATATTTAAAATTACATATGTGGTTCACATTTGTGGCTCACATTGTATTTCTGTTGGACGACACAGCTCTAGGTGGTCAGAAGCAAAGAAAAGTTAGCAGTCTCAGGGGGAACGTTCAATTTGTGGTGTAGTCTTGTTGGAACTCTCCCTGGGCAGAGAAAAAAAAGGTGTGAAAGGAAGTTGCTTCTCTCTAGCCTGTCAGCTGAGAATTGGATGGAAAAGAAGTTAAAATGAGTTTGAAGATGTCTCTTTGCCTTTTTAAAAACAAAACAAAATCAACTTAGTGGTTCTCAGCCTCAGCATTACATTAGAATCTCCTGGGAGCTTTTAAAACCCCCGATGCCCAGTCACATTGTTTTTGTTGTTACATGCAGTTGAGAACTGCACACTTGACCATCCTAGCACCTTTTCAGAGGCTGTAAATGGCACAGGATGAGATTGCCCATTTTTCTCCCTCAGAGCAACTGATGGATTTGAAATGCTTGCCTTAGGTTTGACACCACAGCTCCTTGCACAATTGGCTCACAGAGCTCCCTCTAGTCACATTGTTGTTGTTATGTACCATTGAGTCAGAACCAACTCAATTGACCCTCCAGAGGGTTTTCAGAGGCACTAAATCATACAGGAGGAGAATGTACATCTTTTTCCTATGAAGCAGATAGTAGATTCCAACCATGTACCCTTGGGTTGGCAGCATAATTCCTTATCACTAAACAATCAGAGTTCCCTCTTAAATCAGAATCTCTGAGAAGGGACCAGGCATGAACATGTTTTAGGTTATGAAGTTGTAGCATAATTGAGAAGCACTAAAAACAAACAAACAAACAAAGTCGTACAAAAGAAGTCAAACTTATACAAACTTCTTAACCATACCAAACACCCTGAGGGCATCACGGGCCCTGGGGCCTTAGGACTGTAGTCTCTGGGGACAATCAAGGTCAGCTAGCATAATCCAGTTCACAAGGACAATGCTCCACATCCCGCTTCAATAAGTAGCAGTTGGGGTGGGAGGTCTTAAAAGCTTGCTTACAAGTGGCTATCTAATATGTACAACAATGAATGAATGAAAATCCAATTTTTCTGTAAACTTTCATTAAAATCACAATTTAAAAATGAAATGAAAAACAAAGTGGCTATCTGATGACCAACTGTTGTTTTCTTCTTGTCTGGACCAAAGAAGAGAGAGGGAAACTAAAGACACATGGAAACAATTAGACCACAGTCCTAATGGATCTCTTGAATGTCAACTCCCACAACCCTGAGACCAGAAGAAGTAGATGGTGCCTAGCTACCACTATTCTCCACTCTGAAAGAGATCACAGTAGAAGATCCTGAATAGAGGGGGAGGAAAATGATGGGAAGCCAATACTAAATATTTGTAATAAACTGAATTCTATTTCAGGATGTAGGGGAGGCATGGTTCAAGCTAGAGTTCACCCTGAGGCACTAAGGCAACCCTTAAGCATTTACCATATTCTTGCATTTGTGAACCCCTCCCTCCTGAGTCAAGCAGAAGGTTTTCAATAGAAAGAGCTTGACTTCATTTGCATTGCATTCTCTTTGTGATTTACTTCCAGATAATTTTCTTAGCTTGGCTTGGGGTCTGCAGTCAAGAACTGCTAGCCCCCTGTTTTTTGATCTCTGCTCTACCTCATTCCTGGCTGTCTCATTATTAATAATTATACAATTATTCCATCATTTGGGACCCTCAGTCAGCAACAGAAAAAGGAACAAAAATAAAAATTAAGAAGATGACAAGGATTATTGGTCTCATAGAGACTAGCGGAATCCCTACATCTATGGCCCTGAGTGATCCTTTTAATCTGGAACTGTACTGTCTGATGTGGCTCAATCTCCAGCCTGTAAGGTGAACACTAATGGCAGGAAGGTACTCATCCTTAAAACAATCAACCATACCTGATCAGAGGGCAACATCTCCCCAGAGAAAGCTCAGAAGGTAGGAAAGGAGAGGATGGAAGGGTGGATGGAAACAAAAATCATAGGGAGCAGTAATGGAATCGTAATAAACATCACAAAACAAAATGTGTATGAGCAATTGAATGGGAACAGATTCTACTTAGTAAGCTTTCTCTCAAATTATAATGAAAATTGAATCAAAAAAGGATTGAGAAGTACTACTTTAGCCAGAGTATTGATCTTCCTTTTCCATGAATGCAATACAAGCTATCTGGGAAAATAAGCAAGAAACTTTTATTCACTTTTTTAAAAAAAATTTATTCATTATTCATTTCTCCCCCTTTCCTCCCTCTCCCCTAACCCCCTCAATGTCCCCTTGTTCCAAACTGTCCTCATATATGTAATTTATAATCATATGTTCCTTTCATACAGTTCTTCCCCTTATCTGTTCCAATTCAGTGTTCATTATCTTTCCACCCCTTCCCCACTTGCTATCCAACCCCCTAATGTCTGCCCTGTGTTAGAACAGTGGTGCTATGCAGTATTTATCCTTTTGTGATGGAGATATTTCACTTAACATAATGTCCTTGAGGTTCTCTCATGTTGTGTAATGTTTGGCTATTTTATTGTTTTTCAATGCTGCATAATATTCCACTGTGTGGATGAACACTTGGGTTGGTTCCATCTCTTGCTATTGTGAATAATAAAACAATAAATATGGATGTACATAGGTAAGAAACTTTTAGAACCAGAGATCTAATTATATGGTCATAAGGTGTGTTACCTTACACAGGTTTTCAAAAAATAATTTTTTTTTAAAGTGAGGTTGTTTTTCCCTCTTTACCAGTTAACCCTGAATGAATAAAGTTAGTTCTGTAATCTTGCGAGTTGAGCCTCTTGGCCACTAGGGGAACTAGGCAAACCTTATCCCTGGAGAAACTGCTTAATGTGGAAATTGGCACTTCCGCATATTCATCCCCTGGGCAACAGAAACAATTCATTTTTCCATTTTCTGAAGAAAAACAGGCTCATAATTAGAGAGCTAGAAAACTGGTAATTTGACTCCAGGCTGACAGAAGAATCAACATCTTTGAGTTGTGGTGTTGGAGAAGAGTGCTGAACATCCCATGGACTGTCAAAAGAACAAGCCTATCTTGGAACAAGTGCAACCACAGTGCTCTTTGGAGGCAAGGATGATGAAACTTTATCTCACATACTTTGAGTATGTTGTTAGGAGGGGGCAGTCCTTGGAAAAAGACG